GTCCACGTCAAGTGACACTGAACCCAGGTCAGGCACAGACTTACCCCAGTGGAGGTGTTGGTCCACGTCAAGTGACACTGAACCCTGGTCAGGCTCAAACCTACCCCAGTGGAGGTGTTGGTCCGCGTCAAGTGACACTGAACCCTGGTCAGGCTCAGACCTACCCCAGTGGAGGTGTTGGCCCTCGCATGGCACCACATTTTGAAAACAGAGGTATTTATTTTCTTTACACTTGTTCATCATCTCAAAAGTAACTAGTTCATATACATGTGTACACACACACACACACACACACACACACACACACACACACACACACACACACACATATAATATATATATATATATATATATATATATATATATATATATATATTAACTCGTTCCAGCTGCAGTGGGGTGCGGATCTTACTACATCGCTCCAGGTTCTTCCAAGACATTCCAGTCAAAGAACTACCCCAATAACTACCCCGGGGGTAAGAAGTGCACCTGGAAATTCCGCGTAAGTTCTTTCCTGAGTGAGAATTCACTGCAGCGCCAATCAACCTTGATTTTGATTGTCATATGCTGTGATGCAGTTTTGATTTCTTCAGCTGCTTGACTCCGTCTAATTCCTTATTTCTCAGACTTCTACCGACTCCAAGTTGAGCATCGAGTGTGATGATTTCCAGCTGCAACACTCGAAAAACTGCAAAAAGATTTCTTCCGCGTCACAGATTCCTCTGGTTTTAAGAAAAAGTAAATACCATTACGTTTCTGTTAACTGCATATTCTACAGAAGGAGGAGGTATTTTGCATATTAACCGATATTTCTCCGTGTCTTTTGCAGGTACTGCGGTGTCAAGGGTTCTCTGACTGTGTCTGATAAATCTAGTAAAGTTACTGTCTTGTTCAAAACAAACAAGAAGAAATCTAATACAGGATTTTCCTGCTCTGTCAGAGCTTCAGGTAAAATTCAATATATTTCCAGTAACTGAGGAACATTGGAAGTCTTGCAATAAGCTTCATTTGCACATTTCCCAATTCCGCATAATGTCTTCTCTTTGTAATATCCTGTACAGTGCCAGACTCCCAAACAACAACTGTAGACCCTGAGCCAACTTCAGAATGCAGTATGTATTTACCCTTCCTCTTTGCTCTGATAACGGAATATCCAGAGTTGAATAATAAAAATGAAAACGTCCATGTAAAGAGTTGGAAATCCATGGCTTCACGACCCACAGTATAACACACAAACGTCTTTCCCGTAGCTGGATGTGGACAAGTCAACCGTGCCAACCGCATTGTTGGTGGAGAAGAGACGGAGGTGAACGAATATCCCTGGATGGTTTTCTCTTGTCGCGGCAGTGGATACTATCACTTCTGTGGCGGTTCTATCATCTCCAGCCAATGGGTCGTCACTGCAGCTCATTGTGCAGTAGGGTAAGTAGCTACTACTACTACTACTACTAAAAAGATATATGTATATATATATATATATATATATATATATATATATATATATATAAAGAAAAAAATCCTCTTATTGTCTCAGATGCACTTCTCTATTCCCTACTATTATTGCAGCATGACCACCTCGGATTATGTGCTGGTGGGAGACCACAACCTGTACTCCGCAAGCGAAGCCAATTCTCAGTGGATGGAGATTGCTGAAGTAAGTTTTATGTCTTCACTTCCTCATAGAACATTGGAAAAACTGAATCGTTTTATCATTATTCTTCTCGACCTATATTTTCAAGATCAAACAACTAAACAATTGTAATATCCTTTGCAACAGATTGTGAATCATCCGTCCTATGATTCCAACACACTGGACAACGACATTGCCCTCATCAGACTCAAGACAGAGATCCAGTTCCCATCTGACAACAAAATCGCCCCTGTCTGCCTTCCAACTGCTGGTGAAATGTATGATAGTGTGGATGCCACAATCACAGGATGGGGAGCTCAACAGGAGGGTGGGTACTCATATTCGTGATAAGCCTTTTAAAGTTTTGTTTTATATCAGAGAATGATAACAAAAATCTTCCAACGTTGACTCATACAATGCATTTAACAGGAGGATCCACATCGGGCACTTGTTCGAGGTAACAGTGCCCACCATGACAAACACCGAATGCAATACCAAGTACGGAGGACGCATCACTGACAACATGATCTGCGCAGGCATTCCTGAGGGAGGCAAGGACTCCTGCCAGGTGTGTTCCTTCGTCATTCTTACCTTTTAAAGATACAATTTCAACTTCTTTTTTGATATATGACATTCCTTTCGATATATTTCACACAGTATATGTGAATATTACAGGGAGACTCTGGTGGACCAATGGTGGTGGAAGAAAACGGCAAGTGGAAGCTGGTGGGAGTTGTGTCGTGGGGTTATGGCTGTGCTCGACCTGATAGGCCCGGAGTCTATGCCAGAGTTACACGTGAGTAATTTGTGGTTAGCCATTGAATCAGTTCCTGTAGTAAAAAACAACTATCTTACGGATTTTTATACAACTAATGCATCTCCTGGAAGATGAAATGTACCTCTCAGCTTTGGCCTGTAAGGGATACTTTAACATTTTTGCTGTCTATGACTGATATCTTGCAATACCACCAATGTTTCTCTTACGTTATAAGAAGCTGAAAGTCGGTTATAAAAAAAAAAAAAAAAAATCTGGTGGGATGTCGTATAATATAAGCAAAAGTCTGTTTGGTGAAGATTGCTTAATATTTTGATCAAGGAAAACATGCCAACCTCAATGCCGCTCCAGTGTCCATGTATGACGGGCTCAGCTAAAATGTAACCACTGCGTTGAGGATTCTTTGATTATGTTCGGGTTGCAGTTATAGACTTATGCACTTGCGTTTATAATGAATGCATTGCATTCAGAAAATTTGGTCAGACTTTCTATAATTAGACTGGATACCATATATGAAGAGAATGTTAGAAGCTGAGTTCTTGTCAGTAATATTCTAATACGTTTTTCATCATTCTTTGTACGTACAATGAGATAATGATGACTATTTTCCATCAGAATATTTGCAATGGATTTCTGACTCACAAACCGGAGTCTGTGTCGATGGAACACACCTGCTCCTACAAATGCCCCGACGACTGCCCCTACAACTGCCCCGACGCCTGCCCCTACTACTGCACCCACGCCTGCCCCAACTTCTGATCCTAATACTGATTGCCGTAAGTAAAGATAACAAAATCTGTAGTAATCTTCAAGGTACCATAATATTAAAAGAGTCTTCAGCATTGATGAATAACAGAAAACCTGCAGACAATAAGGAAGTTGATGACGGGTGGACAAACTTTGAAGTGTCCAGTACTCCATTTTCTATGACTGGTTTTGCGAGTTTCCTCAATCACTTTATTCCCACAGCTGGATGGACAAGTCAACCGTGCCAACCGCATTGTTGGTGGAGTAGAGACGGAGGTGAACGAATATCCCTGGATGGTTTCTCTTGTCGACGGCAGTGGATACTATCACTTCTGTGGCGGTTCTATCATCTCCAGCCAATGGGTCGTCACTGCAGCTCACTGTGCAGTTGGGTAAGTAGATCCTATTGAAGTAAAAAAGAAGAAAAAATTCCCTTATTGTCTCAAATCCACTTCTCTATTCCCTATTATTATTGCAGCATGACCACCTCGGATTATGTGCTGGTGGGAGACCACAACCTGTACTCCGCAAGCGAAGCCAATTCTCAGTGGATGCAGATTGCTGAAGTAAGTTTAATGTCCTCGCTTCCTCATAGAACATTGGAAAAACTGAATCGATTTGTCCTTATTTTTCTCGACCTATATTTTCACGATCAGACAGCTAAACAATTGTAATAACCTTTGTAACAGATTGTGAATCATCCGTCCTATGATTCCAACACACTGGACAACGACATTGCCCTCATCAGACTCAAGACAGAGATCCAGTTCCCATCTGACACAAAATCGCTCCTGTCTGCCTTCCAACTGCTGGTGAAATGTATGATAGTGTGGATGCCACAATCACAGGATGGGGAGCTCAACAGGGGGGTACTGATAATAGTAACAAGTTTTGTAAAAATTTGTTTATATTTTTAGGAAAGAGAATGTCTGCATTGGCTCATACAATACATTTAACAGGATCCACATCGGGCACCTTGTTCGAAGTAACAGTGCCCACCATGACAAACACCGAATGCAATACCAAGTACGGAGGAAGCATCACTGACAACATGATCTGCGCAGGCATTCCTGAGGGAGGCAAGGACTCCTGCCAGGTATGTTCTTCATTCTTGCTTTTAAGGATACAATTTTAACTTGTCGTTTTTGATATATGACATTCCCTTTGATATATTTCACACAATATGACATATTTCACACAGTATATGTGAATATTACAGGGACTCTGGTGGACCAATGGTGGTGGAAGAAAACGGCAAGTGGAAGCTGGTGGGAGTTGTGTCGTGGGGTTATGGCTGTGCTCGACCTGATAGGCCCGGAGTCTATGCCAGAGTTACACGTGGGTATATTATACTATGCCACTGAATCAATTCCTTCAATTCAATAACTTTCATGAGATGTATATCTATGTATATCAAAATCCTAATGTGAAAGATGCACACCTCAAGCTTTCCCTAGAAGGAAGAATGTACCACTTAGGTTTTTCCTGTAAGAAACACTCGCATGTTGACTGTCTATGACCGACATTTTTGCGATCCATAAATGTTTTTCTTAGGCCCTCTGGCACCACAGAAGAAAGCTATCTCATTAAAAAATTGTGCTCTTACTAGAATATTTAGATACTTTTCATTTTCCTTATATCTACAATCAGTTAATGAACACTTGCTTTTTCATCAGAATATTTGCAATGGATTTCTGACACAACAACCGGAGTCTGTGTCGATGGGAAACACCTGCTCCTACAAATGCCCCGACGCCTGCCCCTACTGCACCACACCTGCCCCTACTTCTGACTGCCGTACGTAAAAATAAAATCTGTGTTGATCTATAAAAAAAGCTAGAAAATCAAATAAAGACTACATAGAGACATTTGTTGTAATTGGGAGCGACGCAACAGTCTAGTGTTGATGGATTAGAATCATTAGACACTAAGCAAATTAATGGATGAAAGTTGATGATGATGGACAATCTCCGAAGTTTACAGCACCATTTTCAAGCTGTTTTTGTGAATATGGTTATGTGAGTTTGTTGTTGTAAAGATGATATGTATTCCCACAGCTGGATGCGACAAGTCAACCGTGCCAACCGCATTGTTGGTGGAGTAGAGACGGAGGTGAACGAATATCCCTGGATGGTTTCTCTTGTCGACGGCAGTGGATACTATCACTTCTGTGGCGGTTCTATTATCTCCAGCCAATGGGTCGTCACTGCAGCTCACTGTGCAGTAGGGTAAGTAGTTACTACTACTACTACTAATAAAAAATATATATATATATATATATATATATATATATATATATATATATATATATATATATATATATATATATATATAATCCTCTTATTGGTCTCAATCAATTTCTATCCCTATTATTATTGCAGCATGACCACTGGGTATTGCT